AGTAGATAGTGGATGCACCCACCCATGATGGGGGGGGCATTATTCAGTGAAGCAGGGATCACTGGTCTGAAGAGGGAACGTGAAAGCTAGGTGAGACTTTATAATGATGGGGCCACTTGAACCAAAACAAACCGAAGGGTGTTAGACCATTGGAAGTATTATGAAGAGAACACTGTACATATAATGCCCATATAATGGTCTTGACAGTAGTGTTCCAGTGTCACCAATGTTCTGGTGAGGCACTCAACCTGGAGGGTTGAGACCAGGAATGGCTTTGTACCTCCAAGCGGTTGTTTGTCCAGATGCCATTGAGTATGAATTTCTAATACTGATAACACAAAATACTTTGATATGTACTTGATATATAACTACTCTTCACATAGAGAACAATGAATGGTGCTGTTATGAAAAGCTAACACAGCTGTGTTCCAAAGCTGATATATTTTGTTCTCTGTGCATTTTCCCAAAAAAATTTGACACTGGTTGCTCTGGATTACAAGGATGTTAGGAAGTTGAAAAAGTACATTTCTTTGTTTGTCCACTGGTACCTGCTGCATTCTGCCATGTCTTGTAGCATCATAATGTTATTCTGTTTATATTTGTTTGATTTATTCTAAAAATATCATGTTTCTTTTTATCTGAAAAAACTCTTATGTGAAGATTGATTGTTATTCGATATTTGAAATTTCCATCAATGAAATTTCCATTTTTTTTCAATGTCAAAATTTGCATGATGTGTAAAGAATTTTATACATAATGTAAATAAGTTTCCTTCATTACCATTCTTTGTCTTCTCTTTGCTCAGAACTGGAGCACATCCACTTTTGGTAAGGAACAAAGCCCAGGAGTCTCACGTGGGAAGGTTTCCCAGATCCAGTTAGGAGTGCCATATCCAGTCTGCAACCCTGTGAGTAACATTGCACTTGAAATGATTTAATAGGCAAAAAAAAGGGTTAATTAAGACTTAATAATAAACATAAACAAGTTTTATTTTTTATTAATTATGCTAAGAATCAGAACAAGTAATGTTTTTTTATATCTAAGGATTTGCAGGATTGCTCATTACCTACACCTACAATGCTTATGATCACCACAGAGCATACCCTTTGTGGGACCACTCATTGGAGGGCTGAAAGTAGGACTGGCTTTGTTCTTCCAAGGTGTTGTTCCTTCAGATGCCAATGGGTACGTTCTCATGATACTGGCCAGAGGTGGAAAGTAACAAATTACATTTACTCTTGTTACTGTACTTGAGTACATTTTTCCCTGTAATGGTACTTTTTGGAGTAAGCTTTAATCACAGTACTTCTACTCTCATTTAATTTATAAGGAAACACTTTTACCTTGTTAATTTAATGTTTAATGATGTTAGAGTAACATATATTATGAGCTTATCAGCTTATAAACCAATAGTAGAAAGCCCAGTTGAATTTAAAAGATTCGCCAATCAAAACACAGCAACTCCCAGCTACAACAACAGTACACAGACCTCCAGTTAGTGGAGGAAGAAAGAACTCTACCAGCACAGACAAGGAACAGACTTTATCCAAATGGTCATCTATATATTTACTTTTAATTTGACTCAATCAAATCTTTTTTTTATAAAGCAGACATAATTAAACAAGGAAAAACCATGTACAGCCTTTCAGGGCTTCTAAATTACTTTGTTGGAAACAGATAAACTAGCAAGTCTTATATAATCATCTAACCATGCGGAACATGTAGTTTAAATTTTTCCTCACATATCATGCTTTAGTTTTGCAAAAACAGGTTATCTCCACTGATTTATCCAACTCAGAAACATTTTCAGACTGTGATTGCAGATATACAAAAAAGTAACTTGAATACTCAAGTAGTTTTCCAATAAACTACTTATTTACTCTTACTTGAGCAATTTTCTTTATTAAACTTTTAAAACTTTTTCTCAAGTAAATTATCACTACAGTAACAGTACTTTTACTTAAGTAGGGATTTTCAGTACTCTCTCCACTCCAATACTTGCACAATATACATATATATATATATATATGTATATATATATATATATATATATATATATATATATATATATATATATAATGCACACATTGAGCCAAAACATTATGACCACTTGCCTAATATGCTGTTAGTTCTCCGTCTGCCTGACTGTAAGGTTTCAGCCGGCCCCGCAGAGGGCCGGGGACATAGCTTCAGGAACTCAATTCCCAGAAGCCCGCGGGCTGATTAAGCCCAACGTGACACACCTGCGGACTCCTCTACTTAAGGCCATGGCAAACAGTGGCGTTTGTCACACCTTTGTAGAGGGGTGACTGGTACGGTACTTAGTGTTGCTAAAGAAAAGAAAAGAAAAGAGGGCTGAGAAAAGAAATTGCCCCAAAACTAAAAAGAAAAGAGGGCTGAGAAAAGAAATTGCAGGATTCTTGAGCTACAAACAGCTTGAAAAAATAGAAGCGGTTTTTGCTCCACCAACAGCAAACAACTTAAGCAAAGTCTACCTTCCCTTCGTTCTTGGAGGGGAAGTGTTTTTGTTTTCTCATTATCTTTCGTTTCACCTTTCTAGTTCAGCCTTTGTTTGAGCACGCTGCTTTCAGCGTTTCTTTTGTTTTGCCATTCGTCGTTTTCAATTCCAATGTGCACAATCACCAAATTAACACTCCGTTGCCTCAAAAATGTTTGTTGTGACACACTCCTCTCGTAAACACCGTTAAAAAATTCTGATTTGTATCACAGTATCCTTTCTGTCGGTTTGGACCAGACAAGACAGTATTTGTTGCCTTTGCACATCAATGAGCCTTGGGTGCCCGACACTCTGACGTTGTTTTGTCCCTCCTCGAACCACTGTCAGCAGATACTCCCCTTTGCTGACAAGGAGCACCCCACTAGCCTTGCCATTCAGAGATGCTCCGACAGCATCTTCTTGGCCATAATGATTAAGTCCTTGTTAGAGCTGCTCAGATCTTCACTTCTGCCCAGTTTACCGCATCAAACACATCGACTACAAGAACTAACTGTTTGCTTACCTTTTGTTTTTGACACAAAATAATTAACCTGATTTGCTTCATCTGTAAGTGTTCACTATTTTTTGGCTCATCAGTGTATATTAAACAGACACTGCATTAAATAGAAAATATGTCTCTTGAGATTTACAATCTGGAACAGCCATTTACAGGAATCTCAAATATAATTTTTGTTTCAAATATTATTTTTTTGCGTTGCAGCTTCGCAATAAATCTGAAGACTGGGCAAAGGGATGGAGATGACATTGCATTCCACTTCAACCCCCGTGTTGGGACACCCTCTGTTGTGCGTGACAGCTTCAGAAATGGGCAGTGGGAGAATCCAGAAGAGACCTCAGGGGGTCCATTTGTGAAAGGAGGAGGCTTTGATTTGTTCATGGTTGTTAAACCAGAAGGCTATGAGGTACAGAGCTTGAAGAAGTAAAAGAAGTGAATTAACAACATAAGTAAAATAGGTAAATTGTTACACAAACAGTTTTGCTTTATTTTCTTCAGGTAATCGTGAATGGGTACGTTTACTGTATGTTCTGGCACCGTATGCCAGTGGAGAGTGTGTCTGCGCTTCATATCCATGGAGACATTTTCATGACCACCTTTGGCCTCATTGAAGTAAGTAGTTTTTGTTTGTGTACTTTTTGGCAACAGCTCTGGATAAAAGCACATTCATTACATCATCCATTAAAAATAGTGTATATCTATCAATTTTAAAAGTTTCTTTCAACCAGGTGGACAATGTTAATATGAAGGTCACCATGCCTGCCCATATTTGAGGATACTAATCATCTCCATTAAGTTTGTTTTTTCTTTAGGGGGTGTTGTACTCAAGTATCAAAATGATCTTGTAGTAGTCCCTGTTCTGTTTTACATAATACACCCATTTAGGTAATTAGGTAATAAGGTTTTAAATAATAATCCAGTGCTTCAGGTGTCTGCTGTTATCAAGCTAAGAGTTAAAGGAACACAAAGTTTTCCTAATTTGATGAAAGATTTCACATCACACAATAACCACCGTCTCTCAGTGTAACTCATGCAGTTGCTTCTGTAGAATTTGAAAAAGTTGTGCATCTCTTTTCAAATTTTCAAGTATAATGTGAATGTTCTTTGCTTTCTCCAATTGAAATGACTCAAGTTCAGGGACAGGGTATTCTTCCAGGCTTTATGCTTACAATATAGAATGACTCTTACTTCACCTCTCTTTAAGCTAAGCATATCGCTGCTGTCAGAAGAAACCTCATTTCCTTTTTTGTCGTTTATTCAGTTTTTGACAATGTCATGATGAACTGAAAGAAACAGCCCAAAACTATTTGGGGAAAAAAGTCTGGTTCCATTGACTTACATTAAAAGGAAGTATGTTTTTTTCCATGTCCTGTAAAGTTACCATTTTGGAGATACAAGGTTTTTTTTTCCGACAACAGCGATATGACGTTGTAGTGAAACTTTATACACTAGTTAGGTTTTAATGGTACAGCATATATTTGCAGAAAGATTGTGGTCTCAGGTTATTTTAATTTGTACAAAAAAATATCGTACTAGGTTATCAAGAATCTGCCCTACCGAGACAAGAGTTAAGCCAATTTTCCACCGCATGGTACAGCTTGACTCAACTCCACTTGCTTTTGGTACCAGCTACTTCGTTTTCCACTGCAGATACAGTACACCCTCAATGTAGCTGGTCGCCACTTGAAACTGCCAATACGTGAAGACAAAATGTTGTTCAGAAGAGGCTGATGGCAGCAAGATAAAATACCAGGAGAGTTTGTGAAATACTACATCAGAGTTCAGACAACGAGACAATTCTGGTTGCTCAAAGGTGACACAAGAGTATGCTAACCTGGTTGCTAGCATTTGCATGTGTTTTTAGCAATTCTCTCCAACCAATCATTAGTCGGTAGTTTTTTTTTTTAGGTCACCTTCTGGTATCGGTTCAGCTCGCTTGGAACCTCAACAGAGGTGGTGCCAAAAATAATACCTGGTATCAGGTACCAGGTGCCAGATCTGCCTAGTGGAAAACCAAAAAAAGCAAGTAGAGTCAAGTCGAGCTGGTACCATGCAGTGAAAAAGAGGCTTTAATTTAACTGTTATGTGATTAACACTGGCAAATTATGGATTTAACAATGTGTTGTGACACATTGCAAAATCACAATGCAAAATAACAGTAACAGTGCATCACAATGGTTTTATTCAGTGTTGATTTTCTAAATGAAAATAAGTGAACACATCCTCTATAAGGAACTTAAATGACAAATTTTAATGCACAATTTCTATTTGCTTACTGAGTTTTGAGGGGTAAAAATTTTTGGGGGAAAAAAAAACCTTTTTCACAGGACATACTTTGTTTCATTTTTCCCAATATATTAAATTCAGCAAATCAAAGAGTGATTGTGCATTAAAATAGGCAGAAGTGTGCTCCCTGTACAGGATGTAACTTATTTTCACTTAGAAAATCAACAAAACATGTAATTTGACCAGGGTGCCTCAACTTTTGCATCCAACTGTGGTTACAGTTTGCATTTTTCCTTATTCTTCAAATTTTGTTCAAAATATAAAATATTGAATTGCAAACACAGTATCAAGAATTGACTTGATTCGTGGGCCCAGTGTTTTTGTTGTGCTACTACTGGTAATATTAATTTGTTAATAAATTTGGAGGACATGTAAAGAATATGTTTAATCTAAGAAACCATAGATTTCTTGTCTAAAATCACAGATTTCAGTAGAGAATTTGAATAGAGGTAGAATTCAAGTTTATTTAATTGGCCACATAAACAGTGTATTGCAGATAATGTTTAGTGCACTGGTGTATTGAATTTTTTTATTTATTTATTTTTTTCCATTTGACAGCATACATTTTTTTTAGCTTTGGTATTATTTGCTTTGATTTGTCTTTAACATTGTTTCTTCTGCTTTTTTTTGTTGCCACTTTATGCATTTTATTGTTATCCTTTTGCTCCTGCTATCCAGATGTAAAAAAGATTCTTGTTGGATGAAGTTCTTTGAATAAAGTTTGACAGAATCACATCAGTGGACTTTCGTGTTTACACTGAAGTGCAGCAACCAGAAGAAAGCTCTTGAAAATGTTCTTCCAGTCTTTAGTGATGCCATCTGAAGGATACTTAGCATCGAGAACTTGCATACACACAATTTTCTGTGAAGAATGTCTATAATAGCTTAACTTTTTGATTATGTCCCTGAAAGTCACATGAATGCATTACATGAAGTCTAGGCAGAGTGGAGGGTGTTATCTCCCCATCTCCAAAGCCAAAAAGAAACTTTGAAAATGTCACCTCTGGATCCATCTGTATGGTATACCTGTGTGGTTTCCAGAGACACCCATTGTGGAGATACATGCATTCACAGTAGCCAGAACATGTTTTTCAGCATTTTTTGAGCCAAATGCTACAAACTGTTTCTGATCTTCTTGTCAAATTAATAAATGTATACTAATATGAACAGGGGAAGATGTTTTTAGTTGGGGGTGCTGAAAGCAATATACGCCTGACATGAAAAGAAATAACACTGTTAAGGTAAATACTGCCAATATATGGCTTTACTACATTCAATTTAGTTTCAAGTTCAGATCCTTTATTATTTTTACAAGTTACAGGTAACCAACGCTGAATGAACTAGTACCCCAATATCCTGTGCCCCTGGTGACTAATGCAGATAAAAAACAGTTATGCAGAACTGCAGGTGAGAGCGGGACAAACCGTTTAGGTTGTGGGCAAACGGTGCAAATTTACAGCTGGAGCAGGATAAAGTCTTGTATGAGTGGACAGGAGCAGGACTAAACAAATCACTCCAGTGCAGACCTCTACCTAAAGGCATATCCATGACCATATTTCCAGCTCAAGATTGAAGATTCAGAAGGCAGGTCAAAAATACAATTCAATTTTTTTTTTATCACAACTGTCTTGTGAGTGTGCAAATACTACCGTTCAAAAGTTTGGAATCACTGTTTGTAAAAATGTAAAACTTTCATTCATTCATTCATTCATTCATTCACCACCTAATCCAGTTGGGTCACGGTAGCAGTTTGGAGAGCAGAGAATCCCAGAAGACCCTGTCCCCCGCAATTTCCTCCAGCTTATTCCCGGGGACCACCAGCCACTCCCAGGCCAACTTGGAGATATAGTCCCTCCAGCAGGTCCTAGGATGACCCCGGGGTCTCATGCCAGTAGGCCGTGCCTGGTACAACCCCACCGGGAGGCATCCAAGGGTGCATCCGGATCAGACGCCCGAATCATCTCAACTGGCTACTCCGAGCTCCTCCTGGATGACCAAGCTCCTCACCCTAACAAGTAGAGTGTAGCCCACCACCCTGCAAAGATAGCTCATTTCCGCCACTTTTATTTGTGATCTCATTCTTTCTGTCATTACCCACAGCTCATGACCATAGGTGAGGGTCAGGATCTAGGCCAACCGGTAAACAGAGAGCTTTGACTTCTGGCTCTGCTCCTTCTTCACCACTACAGTCCAGTACAGTGACCGCATTACTGTTGCCGCCTATCCCAGCCTCCAGCCGATCTCACGATCCCTCCTCCCATCACTCCTGAACAAGATCCCAAGATACTTAAACTCCTCCACCTGGGGCAGGTCCTTTCCCCTTACCTGAAGTGGGCATGCCATCCTCTTCTGGGACCATGGACTCCAATCGCTTCACAATCAGCTGCAAACTGCTCCAGTGAGTGCTGGAGGCATCCATGCGATCCAGCCAAAAGAACATCATCATCATCATCATCATCATCATACGAACACAGCTCTCACTCTGGAGAACCTCCTACAAAATATCTCAAGGAACATCGTCGTAAGCCTTTTCCAAGTCTACAAAATGCATGCCCGCTCAACAATCCTTGAGAGGGTGAAAAGCTGGTCAATTGTTCCACAACCAGGACAGAATCTGCATTGTTCCTCCTCAATCTGAGGTTCAACTATCAGTCAGAGTCTCCTTTCCAGCACTTTGGCATAGACTTTCCTAGGAAGGCTGAGCAGTGTTATACCCCAGTAGTTGGCACACATCCTCCAGACCACTTTCTTAAAAATAGGGACAACCACCCCAGTCCGCCAATCCAAGGGTACTGTTCCCGAGGTCCATGCAATCATGCAGAGGCATGTCAGCCACAACAGCCCCACAACATCCAGAGCCTTAAGCATTTCCAGACGAATCTCATCCATCCCCTGTGCCTTGCCATTGAGCAGCATTCCAACTACCTCAGTGACCTTCACCAGGGAAATGGAGTCTGACACACCAGAAGCACCTGGCTCTGACTCCTGAGAGATGCATGTCTCTCGGATTTAGGAGTTCCTCAAAGTGCTCCTTCCACCAACCGACAAAATCCTCATTTGAAGTAAGATTTACTCCACCCCTGCCAAATACAGCTTGGGCAAAGCCACCCCAACCGCTCCTGAGTCACTGAACAGTTGGCCAGAACCTCCTTGAGGCCAACTGAAAGTCTTTTTCAATGGCCTCGCTGAACTCATCCCACGCTCTGGATTTTGCTTCCGCCACCATTGCCGCTACTACCTTTTTTGCTTGTTGGTACCTATCTGCTGAGTCAGGAGTCCTCCGGGCTGTCCAGTCCCTTTCTTCAGCTTGATGGCCTCCCTCACCACCAATGTCCACCAGGGGGTTCTTGGGTTACCGCCCTGACAGGTACCAACAAGCTTTTGGCCACAGCTACGCCTGGCAGCTTCCACAATGGAGGTTTTGAACAGGGTCCATTCAGACTCCATGTCCCCTACCTTCTCCGGGACAAAAGAAAAGCTCTCCCGGAGGTGGGAGTTAAAATCATTCCGAACAGGGGCTCCCGACAGTTGTTCCCAGCACACCCTCACTATTCACTAGGCTTGATGCCTACCAGGTCTGACCATCAGTCTTCCCTGCCTGATCTAACTCACCACCAGATGGTGATCAGTTGACAGCTCAGCACCTCTCTTCACCCCGAATGTCCAGAACATATGGTCCCAAGTCAGATGAAACAACAACAAAGTCAATCATTGATCTTTGACACAAGCAGCTCTGGTACCATGTACATTAATGAACATCCTTGTGTTTTAACTTGGTGTTCGTTATGGACAATCCATGACTAGCACAGAAGTCCAATGACAATTCAACATTCAAGTTTAGATTGGGCAGGCCATTCTTCCCAATCACACCTCTCCCCCAGTCATTGCCAACATGAGCATTGAAGTCCAGCAATACTATGGAGTATTGAGTATCCAGAGCCCCACCCACTCACTCCAAGAAGGTTGAATACTCTGACCTGTTGTTTGGTGCATAAGCACACATAAACAATGCCCGGCACCTCTCACCATCAGAGCCAACACTGTGGGTGGAGATGAGCTCAACTATATCTAGTTGGTACCTTTCAACCTCCTGCACAAGCTCCTGCTGCTTCCCCCCAGTGAGGTTACATTCCAAGTACCAAGAGTCAGTTTCTGCCACAGGAGTCTATGCCGCCATGGGCCTCCCTGCCATCTCCCACTGCCTATACAGCACTGCACCGGTACCCCATGAGCCCAGCCAGGTTACGTGGGCTGCCCGGCCACCAGCTGCTCACCAAGCAACACTACCCCCAGGCCTGGCTCCAGGGGTAGGTCCAGGTAACCCTCTCCTGAGCAGGGTACACTGGTTTCTGCATCCCTTTGTCATGGAGGATTTTTGGATCGATTTAGTCTGGGTCTTCACTCCAGACCTGTTCACTTTGGAAGACCCTACCAGGAGCATATTGCTCCAGACGACTTAGCTCTAAAGATCCCTAGATCCCTATATTGCTCATTTAATGTACATCATTTATCATTTAATCATTATTCACAAGAAACTTGATATAAAACACCTATAATAATGTGGCAGCTGCCACTTACTCTGGATTGCAGAGGAAGCCCTAGAGGCATGGCATGCAGATTTGTAGAAAGTATTGTAACAACTGAAGTGGTTGCCACTGTACATTCAAATATAAATGGTAGCAGTTTCTGAAACAACACAAAGAAAAGGTATATGCACATCAACACCACATTTTTATATATATACTCTTAAGAAACTGCAGTAACATAAAGGCTCTTGCTA